TCTTATTCTTTACAAAAATAGGAACACCTGTAAGAAACAGCTTGAACACGTTCGCAATTGTAATGTAACATTATCTCTTACCTGGAAAAGAAATACTATTTCATGGTCGTCGGTGTACCATACAAATAATTGTATGCCTTGAAGAAAATTTTAGAAAGAATCTTTTATCACGTTTTCCTTTCTGTTAAATAATGCATGAATCATGAAATGAAATAATCAAGAATTATCAAGAATTATTAATCCATATCAACAAATGCAGCTGTAGGAGGATAAATAATATTTAAGTTTCTATATAATAATTCTACACAATTTATTATTAGACATTTGTTCAATTCCACGCGTTGTTTTATCGTAAGCGTCTGCAGTATTTATCATAAATATTGATTAAATTTAATGTAAAAATGTTAAATTGACTAAAAATAGTGACTAAAAGTATTGATCAGATAGTGTGTAAATTTGATTTAAAAAATATTATTGAACTTTAGAGAGAAATGATCTTTGTTATATTATATAGATTGATAAAAAAATTCGTTTGTCTTTTTAATATATTTTTTAATAATGAATATTATATAACGTATCACTATGATATAAATTTGCTATTCAAAAGAAAGTGGATGAAAAGAAAAGTGCCTAATCAGCGGAAGTCGCTTGATATCTGATATAGTATAATATTATTTGCATTCTTTCTTGTCAGCATTTCTATAAAAAGATATTGCATACAAGTGACGATATTTATCGCGATATCGTAACTTGGAAAAAATGATCAAGTATATAATTATATCAAATGTGAACGTGGCAATATAATTGCACATGCATTCATAATTCAATTGCTGATTAATTTTTTCAAAGATTTGTATCTCAAAAATGCTTCAAAATAAATCTCTCGATATTTAATATGTATACTATGTATAATATAATCTAAATATTTTATAGTGAAATATTTATCACAACTCTACTGTTTTAATTGCAAAAAAAAAACAGAATTTATAATATTTAAAGTAATATCTGAAAAGATATAAATAGATAAAAGATATAAATTTTTCCTAAATGTCTGTAAAATGAGAACGAAAAGTACAATACTGAAACCTTACTTTTATTTTAAATCGAATTTTTATATTATATGTTCTTTTCGATTTTATTTCAAATATAAAAAATTCATATTTTTTTGTATTTATAAGAATGATATAAATGTACTTCGTACATATTTGTACATATTTGTTTTGTTGTATACTTTAATAATAGTTGTATATATAGCGGTAAATATAATTAATAAATATAATTTTAAGTAATTTCAGATTTTAAACATCTCGTAACTTATTTATATACGATGACGCAAGTTGAAGATATTAATAGATATCTAACTGACGACAGAATATTTAATAAAATAAATAAACGGTTTATGAGCATGGATCCTGGTGATATGCGAGATAATAATCAACGCTTGAACCCGGTATCGTAAAAATCTTTTTTTATTATTAAAATTATATTCTATATTAATTATGCTAATATGCATTGTACGTTACATTGTATGCCGAAGTTTTTTGACAAGTTAACAGACGCTATGAAAAAGCAATGTCCATTGTTTGCTAAAACCTATCAAAGAATTATATGGGCTGGGAGTTATTATAAAGGAACTCGATTTGGGCAGCCAGAAGAATATGATTTAAATTTTGTAATCAATTTGCCCATCAAAGAAAGAGATGTAGAGGTAACACAATTTTTTAAATTAATGCTAAACATGTCATTAAAGATTATTTAATTTAAAAAAGCGTAAAGATACATATGTATATATTCGTTTTTATTTATATAAAACATATTTTTTCTTTATTTAATTTATTTTTGTCTGAACTTATTTTTTTATTTTTACTAATTATATAACATAATATTAATTTTAAATTTAAATATACATATATAAATATTATTTTATTATATATCTATCGTATATTAATTTCAAAATTTAATATAATTTTACAATATATCAACGAAACTAAAATAAGTATAAAATAGCATAAAAAATATTACAATTATATTCATACATCATTTTATATATTCATACTTTAATGAATACTTATTGATCATGATTATAGTTTACCACGGATCGGCCAGGTTTTACTAAAATACGCACGGTTTGGAGAGACAAAAACTTGCATAATACTTTAAACATAGATCCGAAAGCATATAAGTACATATTGTAATAACAAATAAATTTATTCAATATAATTTATAAAATGAGAAAGAAAGAAAAAAGTTTACTTTCTGTTTAGAGAATTGAATTCCTTTATCGACGATCAATCCTATCTGGACCAAGAAAAATTTCGCAGATGGATAAAACGAATTTTTAGTAAAGTAGCCAATGCAACTGGTAAAAATAATAGAATTATACTCGATGGCTATGAGCCAGTAAGTAAAATTTTAATAATATATTATTATAGTTTGAATGTAATTATTAATAATTTGGCAACACAGATTCGATCAGAATTGCAGATCAATTGTAGTATCAATTTATATCAACAATAAGCTAATGTTTTGATGTATACTCACAGAATATGACAATCGAATTAGTATAGAATAAATCTGTTATGTAACCATTTAAATATTGTATAGAATATATCTGTTACATAATCATTTAAATATTGACATTTATTTAGCTGTTAAATTTTTTAATAACTAAAACTTATTTAACTTTTTCTATAATGTTTGACTGGTTGCTAAAAAATGACTAGGGTTGTTGCCATCTGTTATCGCATTTATTTGTTCAGTAGAGTTTGTTTTTTACCGACATTATAATAATCAAGCAAAATTATTCTTGACATATTTAGTTATTAAAATTATCATTAAAATCGTTTAAAAATTGTCGTTGTGTTATATTGTAGAATGTCATAAAAAAACTAAAAAGAGCTAAGTTATGCTAATATCTTTTCTATGTTCAGATAAGCATACGAGAATCGGGACCAGCATTTACGCTAATGTTCCAACTTTCCGGAAGAACCATCGATATCGATGTAGTTCCTGTTTTAGTTTTTTCAACTAATACTTTACCACCCAGATGTTCAAAAATGCATTTGTTACAAGTACGTAATATACAAAATTAAACTATAAGATTGAGAAATGATTTGTCGTATATATGTATGTTTATTTATTAACAGAACAAATTAACAGAACAAATTATATTATTTGGAACAGTAATGTTTTTAGCATATACAGCCGTTTAAAATATAAGTATACGTATTATTTACTTAGATATATTTATGTATTTTTAATTTAGTTTTTTAATTCTTTTCTAAAAAGATATTCAAACTTAATACTCGGTTATTTTATTTAAAACAGAACTTAGAGAAAATAACTTGGAGAAAAACGACAAATTGTTTGCAATAATCCAATATTTAAATAAATTAAGTAGAGTATTGATATTAATTGTTCTATTTATTGTTAGAAAGATGTTGATTGGATAGCAGTTCCATCAAAGAACCGTAAAGGCGCGGTATTTTATAACTCATGACATTGTTATCGGCGAAAAGTAATTTTTTAACTAAAATGTAACCATATGTTATCTACTTATATGTATTTCCTTTTTTATCCTTTTCGTAAAAATATTTAACAACATATACTAATTACTTTAATTTTACTTAAAATAGAACTTAATAGAGAAAAACAAGTTATTTACAGCAATTCAATTATTATATATATAATTAAAATTATATATATATATATAAACATGCTTCGAATCGCTTTCTGTTTGTAGTCTCCTTCAAATAAAGTTAGATGTTGGTCTGCAGTTCCCAAACCTTTAAATAACAGTAGAGGAGGTTTCGGTGATTCAAGAAATCGTTATTGGCGATTGTGCTTTTACGAGTTTGAAAAAGACATGCTTAACAGTCATAATTATGGGCGTATGAAGCCTATAATACGACAGTTAAAGGTACATTAAAATGATATAATATATAGGTATGATATATTGTGGAATAATAAATCCCAATTTATTTGTAATATTATAAATGAATTCTTAGTTATCTTTTATACTTAATATTGTAAATATTTGTTATTATTATATATTTGTAAACTTTTTCTCTTTTTACGTTTCGCAATTAATGCGCATGAAATTTTTTTATTTATTTATAGTACTAATTTTAATTTTATTTTTACTGTAATTATATAGTTTATTTTATATAATTATTTTATAGTTTGAATTTTATTCTTTTGAGTCTTGGATTCTATTAATTTTTATATAATTATGTATATTTCATGATGTATTCTCTCTATTAGAAACTTCGGGATACTCAAAGATGGAACAGCATCGCAAGTTATTTTCTCGAAACATTATGCTACCACGAATCAGAAATGTTTCACATTACTAACAAAAAATCGTCAACTTTTTTCTTCTTCACGGTATTGTACTGATAAAATTCCAAATGTATGTTTCTATTATTGAAACAATAGATCGGAAGAGCACACGT